ACTGAATAACAAGGGGAGTACCAGCACCCAGTAAAGAATGGAAGGGGGAATACCAGTGCCTGGTACTGAATAACAAGGGGAGTACCAGCACCCAGTAAAGAATGGAAGGGGGAATACCAGTGCCTGGTACTGAATAACAAGAGGATACTGACACCTGGTACTGAATAACAAGGGGAGTACCAGCACCCAGTAAAGAATGGAAGGGGGAATACCAGTGCCTGGTACTGAATAACAAGGATCGGTGGGTGGTTCTCCTTACACTCTTCAGGAAATGAGAAACTGTAAGTAACTGATGGGCTGTGGGTGTATCTGAAAATACAGAGGATTCTGAGAATAGTGTACAACAACCATACTGAATCATGCCATTGTTGCATTTAACTCCAAAGGAAATTCAGGTTTAATTTAAAAGAGCCATTTTCTTTCTGCAGTTGTACTGAAACAAAAAAACAAAATTCACTTCCCACTTTTACTCCCCCCACACAGGGTCAGACATCCGGTTGCAGATGACCCTTGAAATTGCTTTCTTTTCACTGCTTCCCAACCCCCCCCCTCCCCCCTCACGTCCCACGCTTCATGGGGGAGGGGAACACAGACAAAGATTGTGATTTAGAGTGAGCGCTGGTTGCACAGCAGCGTCCACTCTGAGCTCCCCTTCTCCCATCATGTGGCTTTCATTCTGAGCTCTGGGATTTCTGCACACCTCCCACAAACACCCCTCTCTCGTCATTCCCACCCCCATGTTACTCTCTCCCATGGCTCTCTAATATCACAATCGACGGAGCACTTTTACACTAAAGCCAGGTCTGTCAGCTTTTCTCCTTTAAACACTGCATTTTTGTGTGTTTATCTAGTTTTTTTCAATTAAGTTGTTTTGGTATTTCCTAGTTGTTTTAGGTTTAATTTCTCTTGAATATAATTTTGTTTTACTTTAAGTATTTGTTATTCAGATGATCTGCAGCTGGCATTTCAGTGTGTCTGTGTATGTGACTATTGTACAATCACTCATTCTTCTGCCTTTTAATTGGATTGACCTTTCTATGGGTCGTTAGATCCAGACATGCAAGCATTTAACAAACATTCTAAGCTTGCCATTAAAGTATGACAGTAAAATATAAGGCAGTTTTTCAGGTTTTAAGTTTGAAGCAAGATGGATGTAGTTGTTTTCACCAGCAGTCATCTGCTGCCGACGCTGCCTGATGTTTCAGGATGGACACGCTGCCGGTCTTCACCGCGGGGAGCGAAGCCACAGGAGACACCACAGAAGTGGTGGGCTTCAGCAAGCCCCTGCACCGCTTAATGAGGGCAGATCCCAAGAGCATCGGGGTAAGACAGACGCCCTACAAGATCCCCTGGTCCGGTCCACACTAGTGGCGAGTGACTGGAAGGCAGTCCAGTTCATTCTCTGTACCATACCAGTCCTGTTACAGGAGTATTCCAGACACTGTTACTTCTTCTTCAGTTACATGACTCTCATAAAGATTATTAATCGATGATTCATACATTCTGTATTTTTATGGCCATGATGGGAGTTCATGACAGCATCAGAGGTGTTCTGGTGCTACAGCTAATTTTTAGAACAATTTTATGAAAACTGCTTATTCTTCACCATTTTCTAACTGGTGTCGTGTTTGTATTTCATTACAATATTGTCGATTCACTGGTCAAATTGTGTAAATATTCTTCTTCATCATTGCGCAAGACCTTGTAACACATTGCGCAAGTGTGAAATTGTGAAAATGGGACAGTTAAACTTTGCAGTTAATACATGGCTCAAAGAAAAAATGTGCACATGTGTTGCCCCTAGGCCATTAATTTAACATAAAAAGATAAATATATATAAATATAATATTAAATCACTCAACTCATAACCTTTTTTTTGACCCAGACATATTTGTGTTGCAAAATTAAATTAAGGAATTATGAAGCTCTACAGTGTCAAACTGTCCTTCAGTGAAACTGTCCTGATTAAAATTGTAATGATAGTGTTTTTTAAATGTAAAAGTTCTTACTAAAAATATAAATGAACATTCAAGGCATAACTGTGTTAGTATTACTCGACGATGGGCTTGAGCCAGCAAACAAGAAGGCGAAGTTGTGGATGACAGCAAAACGGGGTTTATTTAGGGAACAGGCAGGACCGGGGAAGCACGACGACTAACATTGCAATGACAGATCTGCGGATACTGACTTAGACACGGACTAAATACACCAGACAGGCTAAACTGAACAAGCAAAGGGAGTAAAGGCACCTGGTACCACATAATAAGGGGAATACCGGCACTGAATATCAAGGGGAGTACCGGCATCTGGTACCACATAAAAAGGGNGATGAAGCTGAGAAGTTTCCTGGGTTTCTGCTCATCCTGAACGGTGGGAACGACCCGACAGCTATCCCAAGCCTGCCTGTCGGTCACACACTCATGCTGACTCATAGATCTCACTTTTGATCATAAATCTCAAATGACATATTTTCACCAAAATATTACCTGTCAGGTGAACTAGTTAGGCAGTGGTGCATAAATGCTCTGAATGTTTGCAATGAACGTGTCTCTTTGTGTAATACATCTTTTATTACACTTTAAAAATAAATCTGTTAGCCAAAAATCATAGGTATTGACCAGAAAATTACAGATATTTTAATGAGACCACAAGAGAAACTGGTGTGCAAAATGCAGTCAAAATGCAGCAGAGGCTAAAGTGAAGAATACATATAAATAAAAATATTTTGATATTTTTATTTTATATAATAGGACAGATTGAAGTAGGCTATGGTGATCATTTAGAAAATGTAATTTATTGTTGTATTTGTGAACTTTTAAGCCTGAAAGATAATGCTTATATTTTTATCTTCTTATTTCTTCATATTTATATTTATGTAAAATTCGTATTTTTAAACAGCATTGTTTTCTTTAGTTGATGATCATTACCTGTGCTCGCGCCTTCTGTCCTTCTCACTCTTGCCGTCCCTCATGGCTTCAGCTTGTCTGAGCTGCTGGAATTAGACTGATGCTTGTTATATACAGGCATGGCCGCACTGTTGGGAAACACCTTCACGAAATTAACACCACAGATGCTTCAAGAAGGGCAGTTTTTCTTTTTTTTTTTAGTGTGACATGTTTCAACGTAATTATTTGTACAATAGAAAAAGAAAGACCCATGTGTGTAGGGAATCGATAGTCCCCATATATTGCGGTGTTGCTGCTTTAAGTTTCCTTGTGAAAGAGAACCCCTCAACGTTACGCTAAAGTTACTGCCGTTAATTTTCGTCAGTATTAGACAATGCATCTGTGAGTCTTAAAACTTTGCATGAATGGTGAAGAAAGGGACACCACCACCCCCCACCCCCCAAAAAAAAAGAAAAAAACATCGAATATGTAACGGTAATTAAAATAATTAAACTAAAACATAATTACAGTTGTCATTCGTGGATTTCTTTGAACTGTTATGGGCATGGGTGGGTAGTTAAATGCAGGAACGTGCGGAGGGGGTATTGGGGGTGCCTGAGTACCCGCCCCCTTTGCCAGAACTATTTGAAAGTGGCCACCTTTAAGTCCTGAGGGCCCCATTTCGATCACCGACGATTACACAAGATTCACCAAGCGAACCCCGTTCAAACACCTGCTCCTCGAAAAGTCTCTGCAATACTGAAATATCTTCTGCTGTTATGCCCTGCTGCATAACTGTCAACAATCCTCATTTCTCCGGACTTCTCCCTATTTTCCACTCCTCCTACCACTGTATTCTCGATTACCCTTTTCTCCCAACAACCTCCCCAGACTTCCCCTATTGACATTTATGATCGTCAGAATCGATCCCCCTCCCGCTTGGCAATTTCTCCCAATATGTCGGCAGGTATGTTGCTAGGTATGATGTGTTGTTGTATGTTAACAAGCATGCACTTGCAGCGGCGCCCCTGGACATTGTGATTAAACACTAAATCCTTCATAAGCAGGACTTTTTGACAGGCGTTTTACACAGGATACCGTCGCTTTGAAGTCGATGGTTCTGGTATTACAAGAATTGAAATAAACAAAATAAAGAAGCTGCCTCGTTATGTTTTTTCATCGTAACTATCTCCCCCGACCCGTTTTTCTGTTGTGCAACATAGCCAGGGCTAACATGCAGGTATGTGCTTAGCAAGTTAATACAAAACCTGCAAAGACATTTTATTATTAGCACAGTTTAAACAACAGAAAATAAGAAACCTTTATTTGACTTTCACCTTTGGTTAACTTTCGTTAACCTTGGATCACAAGTCTAATTTCAGTCCCATCCCTGCACTGTTTGTGTATCATGTGGAGTTTGAAGGTTCTCCCAATATTATACCAGTTCCCACCCATATAAAGGTAAACATCTCTAAATTGCCCATAGTGTGTGTATGTGTGTGTCCTGTGATGGAATGGCATCCCACCCTGGGTGTTACCCAGCCTCATGCCCTGTGATGGACTGGCATACCATTAAGGGTGTTCCTTGCCTTCTGCCCTGTGATAGATTGGCATTGCATCCACGGTGTCCCCAACCTCGTGCTCTGTGATGGACTGGCATCCTATTCAGGGTGCCCTCTGCATTGTGCCCTGTGATGGACTGGTATCCTGTCCAGTGGGTCCCATGCCCTGTGCTGCCCCATGACTTTGTATTGTACCAATGATTATGGAAGACAGATGGAGTGAACCATGAATAAAATAATGTCACATTATCTATACTGTAGGTAATCAGTCTCATTCCAGCTGTGATCTTGTCTTTATTATGTAAATGTAACACATGAGAATCCCCCACCAACTGAGATTGACTTTGTATTTTTTTCAAACACAGTGGACCTTCACTTTAAGTTGCTGATGGAATTGGGCCCTCGGGGGATAATAGTCGGGGACCCTGATTTACATTATTCTTTGGAGTCATTAGACAATGATGGAAGTTAATTTCAATTTTGGTTACATATGTGGCTTATATTATCAAAAGATGGGCAATAACTGGGAAAACGGGTTGACTTGATATCAAGGAATGCTGACAATTTGATGAGGGCTTCAATTTCACAGCCTGCACTTCTGAACTTGCCTGGTTAGATTGCTATGTTAGCGAAATTATGGCACCACAGGCGATGTATGAGAGAATAGCTAAGTGCTTATTTGTTTGATAATGTTATACTTTAATTAACCACAAACATGAATGTAAGACTCACAATGGGCTGTGACATAGGGGTGGGAGGGAGAAAATGAGATGAGTTGGATTACAGACAGGTTTGACAAGAATGGCCAGGAGGATTGAGAGAAAAAAGATGATTGTGCAAGGAAAACATGAAGAAATGGGAAGAGGTGCCCAGGTGTCCTGCCCCTGACATAATCGCACGTCTCCATGTGACGCACCTAGCTTCATTCTTCACAGGTGAGCAGTGTCACTGGGATAGGGCATAGGGCATAGGGCATAAACAAGAAGGCAGTAGATTCTGTGTATTTATAATAATTGATTATTTCAACATAAGAACACAAGAAGTTTACAAACGAGAGGAGGCCATTCGGCACATTGAGCTTGTTTAGGGAGAACTTATAAGAACTAATAGCTCAGAGTTGTGAAAATCTTATCTAGCTCTGATTTAGAGGAGATTAGATTAGAT